CACACACACACACACACACACACACACACACACACACACACACACACACACACACATATAGCTTTGAGCTAATGTAGCGACGTGCTAAACGGCTACCGGCACTAGACGCCGGGTCTCCTGTTGGCAATCCGCCATTTTGAGTCCGCGCATGAGAGACGTCACAACGTCCCAACTACGTCATACGTGGCTGAGCTGTTCCCTCGCTCCTCCTCCTTACGCGCACACACACTCCCCCCCCCCCCTTCAATCGTCTGTTGATTTTAGATAACGTGCTCATAAATGTATAGTTGTTGTTAGTTTAGATATTAGTTGACTAGATCATTAGTATTAGAACGTAATAAACTCTGTTATATTTTAAAGAGCAGCTGTCTGTGATTACTTTGTGCATGTGTAATAGTCCTCGGACTGTTGACATTGTGAGTGAACACTAATTATGAGACTTAGTTTATCGTTTGGTTATTGGTCCCTGTTCGCAGGGTGGTGCCCCGTTATTATTAATAATCATTAATAATTGTTACCGACATTAATAATTCTATTGATGTCAAGAATTTAGTTTCTTAGATGCTGATAACCCAAACACGCTCCTTTACGTTCCCAACATATTGGTGCCCCCTTTTTGAGGCTATGTTATTCCCAACACCGTGCGAGGACGATCTCTGCAGCCTAAATAGCTGTAATCCAAGAACTCAAGAACCAAAAAGTGACTTTCTCATGTGTACAAACTGGGCAATAGACGGCTATTACCAAAACCATTTGTTCCTTGTTTATCAGTTAGGCTGATAATCCAGTTGCAGCCTGTATACTTTCAAAGTGGTGCAATATTTAAAATGCATTGCTTATCGGTTCAATGCTCCGATCCCTCACCCTGCCCACAATGACAACATTACAAGTGGGTGTATGCTCTGTACACACTGGTATGGGTTACCGACATAACTACATAAAAGTATACGTGTTTGGCATAATTCACAGAAGAGTCGTAGTATTTTCTTTACAGTACATACTTTACATATATTAGTTTTATTTACATGCACTCTAAAAACATGTTAACTATCATCATGTTTGTGTGTCAATCAATCTGTGTGTTTATGGCCTATAATCAATAAGAGCTCAGTCCAGACCTGGGGTGTATGTTATCTGTCCATGCCAATCTGCTCTGAATATATGTTGTATTACTAATTTATAGACATTTATAAGAACAGGCCTCTACCGACAACTTAGTATTCAGATACACTTCACATCACAGCGTGCATTTAATGAACCTGACTCTTAGAACAGGATTGTCTGTGCTTTATTGCATAAACAGCCAGTCAGAGCATGTGCGTGAAATGTGATTTGAAGGGGATCAGTTTTTTTTTATATTAGGCATATAAAACTGGGTTAAAGGGCAATGAGGGGGGGCAGGAAGGTGACAGGAGTCTCTCTTTGCATTGATACTATGGTGCTATGCCAACAACATCTCACAGAGTGTGTGCTTTTCATGTACGATGTAATACAGTGTATGGCTGTAGATAAAGACTTTTTACATCCAGGAATGTATAACTTGCTCCAGATATCAGTCACTGCAAACCAAGTGTGGCCTTTAATCATATTTATTGCTACAGCTTATAATCCGGTCCTGTAGTAGCTGACAGTCCTCTCTTTGGAGTTTGCCCCCTCTGGACTTGATTGTAGCTGTACTGTTTGGCAAGCAGGCAGAGGGGGTGACTGCAAACTCTGCCCGTTTAAAGTTTAGCTCACTTGGGCTGAGGGAGAGGATCAGCCAATAACATCACCTCTAGTACATGAGCCCACATAATCAACAATGTGATGCGGGTTCGATCGCAGCAGAACCAACAAGTACACCTCCACCATGTGCACCACCGCTGCCCAGTTCGGCATCTCCTTTTGGCCAAAAGAGGAACATCGGTCTCGGAACAGAAAATGTTGAAAAGGAAGCCACAGTAGCTACGTGGTCACTGCTCGTTTTAGTCGAGCAGGACAAACAGTGACTTCTTACCTATTTCACTCGCCATATAAACGTGACGTGTGTACAGTAAACTAGCACACACCAGCATGTTTTGAGTCGCGTTAGCATTAGCTTCGACAACCTCGAGCACATATATGATAACTGCAGGTTAGCTTAGCCTGACTAAGCTAGCAGCAGCTAGCGTTAATCCTGACTGACCAGGAGCTCTCCTGCTGGGGCCTAGGTGTATTTCTGTCACTCTAACCCGGGCTAGGCTGCATCTTACCTGATAACGGTCACTAGTACAGCATTTAGGTGTCTCCACGGTGTGATATCATGACACAGGTTTGAGAGAAAATCCGTTTCCAGCGCCTGCTAGCTTGTGTTGGCTCTCTGTGTGTGTGTGTGTTGCGATGGGCCGGGCTACAATCAGCTTTCTCTAACAGCTGGCAGATGATAATGGTTGGATATACTGACGCTAGGACACATTAAGGTCAAGGAGCACTCTGGAAACAGGTTGACACTGATATCCTACAGAAGCAGTTTTCATCATGGTTAAACTGCGACTGAACGACATGTTAGTAGACAGCCTTGAATGCCATAAAAGAGAGGATGCGAGGTCTTGGATACGAGTCTTTGTTGTAATCTTGATATAGGCCTATAATACGCTGACTATAAAGGTCAGAAATGAATTCACTATCAGTGTGTTAGCCGTAAATCCAGAGCCTCGTCTCACTTTACCTGACATAATAAAAAATAAAGAGATTCCTTTTGCAAATTAGGAAATTCCAGGCACCTGGCTTTACATTGTGTTATAGGCACACATCTTGATTCTGTTGAACAGAAATTGCTGCAGAAAGCTTTTCATTTTGTCCCAGGCTACATTCATCATCCCCAAAAGAAATACATTTTGGACCCCTCAGACTGATAACGTGTCACATTGATTTATACGAGTTACGCAGAGAGCGATCCTCTCTCCCCTACTTGTCCTGTGTTTATCCTTTTGGGGTTTGCAGGGCAATCACCCATGCTTTCAACATGCCCCATGAGTTTCTTGATTGCAACAGAATGATAAGCGCTGTGCCATATTTTGGATGTGAAATGGAAACACCATCAAAATCCTTCTCTGATGTTTTTTTGATGCATTTCTCCCTCCACATCCCTCGGATGGCCATGAGTGTTTTCCAAAAGAAGACATTAACATTGACAGCTAAACGTCCATCAAAGCCTTACAAGAATGAACTTTACAAATAAAAGACATTATCTGAGATGTAGCATAGCGTCAATGTTTCATTAAAGGTGAGCTGAAAACATTACCTGCTCGCCGAGCTGGAGTCTGAAGCCTATATTTTTATGACTCCCAGTGGTAGCTCAATGAAGTGCTGTTGCTTTGGGTTGAAAGCTGCAGTTATCAGGACACCTGCAAAGCAAGCAAAAGTTGTTTAGTGCCGTAACAGAACAGCAAGCAGCCAAGTCACTCATTGTGTTACCAGCGGCCATTTGTCATATTAATGGTCACAACAGATCATTATGTCTAGCCTCAGTTATCAGATTATTAATGGGTCGTAACAGTGCCCACAGTTTGGTTTCCTCTGTGGTAAGTCATGTGTATGCTCGTAACGCTGACTTTTCCTTCCTAAAATACATATAGCACTGTATCTATCCATATTCCTGCAGGCTGCACGAGCACCCTCCCCCTTGAGCTGCATGACACACTCCAAAGGTCACAGTCACAGGAATGCTTGAAGGACAGACGGAGTAAAGCCAACACCTTCTCTCTCTCACTACAAAGTCATAAGCTGAAGTTGGGTGATAACTCTCTGTAAATAATTAAAGAGACCAGTTTTAATGGAACAACAAAAAAGAAAACACACACACAGCAAAAAACATTTGAGTTACTCTTTTAAAGTGTAAACTTGACTCTGGCTCTTGACATTTTAAAGACAAGACACCATTGAATGCCAGATTGCAGCACAGAAGGACAGTTTCCTTTAAGCAACTTTAAACTTGAGCAACAAGACTGTAATGTGGGACAACTTCAGTTTTCAACCGGGGCATTTCAACAAAGGCGATTCATTTAAGTTAAACATGTAGATTCAGATTTTTTTATGAATTACCATAAAAACAAATCATTACTAATATTTAATGTTATCTCTGAATAACCTACACTTTTTTTGTCATGAATGCAAAGTCAAATGTCACATAAACCTGCCTGTCCTTGGTCTTAAATGGTTGCAGACCTTTCTCATCATTCTTTAGTTAGTGGATATCGTTGGTCTCTGTCGCTGATAATGCATCACACTGACTGCGCGGCCTATAAAACTCAGTTTGAAGGTTTTAAATGCGGCGCGCTGTGGAGACGACGGGAACAGCACCCAGGGGTGACCTTGTCTACTGATCTCGGACCGGTGACAGGTTAATTGCCACAGTGGATTATGCTTTAAGATCAGTGGCCTCAATCCCGGTCCCGCAGGCTCGGTGTCTTGCATAGTTTAGTGTGTTAAGACAGAAAGATGAATAACTCAGTGGGGTTCAAATACAAAAACAAACAGCTGGTGTGTACAGTTGAAGAAGTGCGTGGTGTTATTTGCCTGAGCAGGACTCGTCTTTTAAGTGTTGACCTGCGGTGAGCAAAGACAGAATATATCCGCTGCATCTCATTCAACCACGCATTCTTCATTTACTCAATAAATCAGCATGCATCACATTTATTAAGACATTGTGTGAGGGGTTCACCGGCGGGTGGAGCTTTGGCCATCGCATAGAGTTGTACAGCACGTACATGAGAAGTAGTCGGAGTGTAGTTTACGAGGAGGAGAAGCCTACTGCACAATTATTACACAATGTAGCCTACTAAATGTTTATTCGGCGGCTCGTGCCCCCCCCCCAATAACGTGGCCACGCGAACTCAGCTCTGACAGGCGAATCGTGCATGCACATCAGGCTGCCGCTGAGGCAGCTGACATCTCCGCACAAAGATTAATAATAGCCCGGACCCACCGTGGGCTCCATCTCTGCAGTGTAGGGTAACGTAAGGCAAGAGCTAGGCTACTTACTGGGAAATGCAAAAACATCGCAGGGTTGTTGCTTTTTTCTTTTTTTTAAATCTGAGGTCAGTCAAGTCCTTGCGGCTGGTAAATCCACCGTCGGTTTGACCGGTTTAGGCTGTCCAAGCCTCGCAGGGTTCCTCACATCGCATCACTGTGTTGCCGTGTGATATGGCGATAACAACAACCGGCCACGGTCTTGTCCGCCTCTTCTGTTCCGTACACGGGGTGTTATAAATTCTCGTCTTCGCCTGCCACAGCTGAGGTTGTGGCTGGACGCTGGCACCAACACTTCACGAAGGAACACCGAATGTCCGGTAAGGGATAAAAAGTTTCACAATAAAACATTGACGACTCGCTTTACATGTTATCTTTACTCGAGACAGACAACGTCCTAAAGCCAAGGCGAGGTCTGAGATTATAGAGTCGGCCTCTATTACCGGAATGTTCAAAATTCTCCCCAAACATAATGGTAGTATTACTAAAATTAACACAAATCACGGTTTTATTTGAACAATCTCAAACTAAGTAACTTCCGTTTCTTTCTTGGCTTCTGCCTTCTTCTCTTCAGCTTGACGCAGCTCAGTGACGTAGCCTCTATCCCGTGTCTTTTCTCCTCCCTCTGCCCAGTTTGCGTCCGCTGTGTCTCCGTTACGTCCGTACGCACCTTCCACTAGCGTCATCAGTATTATAATACGGGCCTGCAACTCGTGAAAAAGATATGACCCAGTCTACGTTAGTACAAATGTTGTCCAGGTGTGTGTGTGTGTGTGTGTGTGTGTGTATATATATATATATATATATATATAT